CACTACGTTTCCGTAAAATCAGGGTGCTTTTTTAACGTGAGTCCCTTTGCTTCTCACTACGTTTCCGTAAAATTGGGGTGCTTTTTGAATGTAAGACCCCTCGTCTCTTATTACAGCCTACACCTACGATTTATTTAATCTTCTTCACTATCACTGTCTATTACTGGAATGTTATTTGTTTTCTTAAACAGATCGCTAATGGGCTACGAACAATTGGATGCTGCTGTCATATTGCTGCAATTATATATTATCTATCTCATGCAAGATATTTAGCGAAAATTTTGAAACCAGCAGAAATACTGAGCGATCTGTTTAAGAAAACAAATAACATTCCAGTAATAATAGACAGTGATAGTGAAGAAGATTAAATAAATCGTAGGTGTAGGGTGTAATGAGAAGCGAGGGGTCTTACATTCAAAAAGCACCCTGATTTTACGGAAACGTAGTGAGAGGCGAGGGGACTCACGTTAAAAAAGCACCCCGATTTTACGGAAACGTAGTGAGAGGCAAAGAGACTCACGTTAAAAAAGCACCCTGATTTTACGGAAACGTAGTGAAAGGCGAGGGGACTCACGTTAAAAAAGCACCCCGATTTTACGGAAACGTAGTGAGAGGCGAAGAGACTCACGTTAAAAAAGCACCCTAATTTTACGGAAACGTAGTGAAAGGCGAGGGGACTCACGTTAAAAAAGCACCCTGATTTTACGGAAATATAGTGAGAGACGAGGGGACTCACGTTAAAAAAGCACCCCAATAAGGAGTTTAAAACCGTACTGCAACCTCCACGTGGTAAACTCTGGAAACTATAAAGATTAAAAAGTATACATATTATAGGCTAATTGCAGACGTACATATGTGCTAGTAAAGTTACTTCAAACACCCGCAACGCGGAATGGCACTGCACTGTGCGCCGGAGTGACGCGACGCTTACGATTTTCGTATTTTTAACTATATATGTTTCACTATTTAAAAAAAATTGAAAAAAATATATGTTATAGTGGACACTTTAAGAGAAATTTTCGTAAAAATTTCAAAGGGTTACCTCGAAAATATCACCCTAAAAAAAAATATTAACAAATTTAAATATTTTTTTTGGTCTTTTTTTGGCAAACATTTTGGACATTTTTTTTGTTAATTAGTTTTATTAGTCTACATAACATATATTTTTTTCATCAAGATCGGTCAAGTGGATTTTTTAAAATAATATTTGGTGGAAAGTTTTATCATATTGGTACTAACTTGTGACATTAATGTCAGCTCTGTATGATCAAGGGCCGATTTCACATGCTTACTCCGCTAGGCCCTTTGGTTTTAATTTGATTCTTATTAAAACGTATTTTTGTTTAAATAATGTTTAAATAATATTTGCGGTAAAATTTGTTTTTTTATTTGTCGAACTTAACATGTAAAATATTTGATTCAAATTAAAAAAAAATAATATAGTCATATAAGATTATATATGATCAGATCAGAATATTGCATCTCAAAGTATCCGATAGATGGCATTCGATGTGATCTGTTTCTCGTAATTAAAATTTTACAAAGAGTGTTATAAGATAACGGTATCAAGAAGACACGACACTGTCTCGAAACGACACAATTTTTGTATCAGTTATATCGTGAAGTCCACTCTTATAATAAAGTAGCACGCTTAAAAAATAAAATTTTATATAATCTTGTTTAAATTTATAAATTGGTATAAATTTAAATTTAAAACAAAATTATATAAAATTCTAATAAAATCAAATAACATTTATATATGACAAATTTGACTTATATGACAAATTTGACTTATATGATTATATTTGACTTATATGATTATATTTGACTTATATATGATTATATTTGACTTATATATGATTATATTTGACTTATATGATTATATTTAACAAATTAATTTTGAATTTATTACCATATTTAATCCACACTTGGCAAATTAAAAACATATTAACTTTGCATTTTCTTAGGTCTGTGCGGCTGATTTTGCATACTTTAACAAAGCAAGGTCCAGTTTAATCCATATATAGATTAAATAAGATGGGGTACTTTAATTTGATTTAAATATGACATATTTAAATTATAATTGATTTGCATATTCGATTCTAATAAGATTCTTAATAAATTCATATAAGCTTTTAATACGGTTTTAATACAATCGTTTTTCGCGGGAGGCCTATTGACACTTTGGTTCTACGTGTTGAGAATAACTACCACATATCAAACTTTCAGAAAAATTAGCCGAAAGCCTAATTAAATTAAATTAAAAATAAAAAATTATTTCTAATTAGTTTTACAAATAATTATCGAGATTCCCACTGTCCCTATCTACTATCTAGCGAAACCACTGCCAAAGGAACGGGCTTGGAAAAATTAGCAAGGAAAGAAGACCCTGTTGAGCTTGACTCTAGTCTGGCACTGTAAGGAGATATGAGAGGTGTAGCATAAGTGGGAGATGGCAACATCGCTGGTGAAATACCACTACTTTCATCGTTTCCTTACTTACTCGGTTAGGCGGAGCGCGTGCTTCGAGGGCTTCGTGCCCTGGCGGTCACGGTGTTCTAGAGCCAAGCGTGTCAGAGTGGCGTGTCAGAGTATCAAGATCCAGTCCGGTCTGTAAATGGCGTTTTTCTCATTAATTGATTGTATATCATAACGGTCGTGTTTCACTTATTGTTATTAATAATTAATTATTAATATTATAAATGTAAAATTTATTTATAAATATTTGTAAAGATGTATTTTTCTTCTGTAACTGTTCGAATATATTTTTAGATGTTTTCTGATTACTGAGAAAATTATTTGCATATTTACAAAAACTGCATGTTTTACGAAATTAATAAATTATTCTTTTATAGTTACTAACATAGTTTTTCATGCTCAATGATCTAATCACATTTGAGAATTGTTTTCAATTCAGACAATACCTAAACAGATACATCAAATTTTACATTAAATTTACAAGTAAAAAAGTGACAAATTTCAGTGATTAACATTTTTATTGCAGTTAATTCCTTTTGTCGACAAAGAGATAGATAATGCGAGTTATTTGACTGGCAAAATACAATTAGCACATACGCATTAATGATGGCAATTGCTGCTAAGTAAAAAGATAAACAAGTATGTACAATGGCGCTCTCTTTCATTATATTATTACCATCTGTCATTAATTTATTTGAGCACTCATATTTGTATTGCAATCGCCTTTTATTAAAACATTCTTTTATAGTGAACAATTGCAGTTATATAATTATAATTATTAATATAATAAGATACAATTACTGTGCTACGTAATTGTAACAATAATGATAATCATAATATGGTATCTATATATCATAATAACTATACTTTTAAAGATATAAGGCTATAGAGGAAAAGGGTCAAAGGGGAGCCACTTAAAGATAAAGTCAAAAAAGTACATTAAAAATATCATATATTTATTTCAAGTTAAAACTTAAGCGAATCTTAAAAACTATAACTAATTAACTTCTTGATAGTATTCGTAAAAACTGTAAAAAATCATCGAATATAAGTAGTTTTTTAATTTGGAAAAAAAAAAGGCTTTTACTCCCATTACCTAGAGTACGGGGTAAAGAGAGTCAGTATACGGGATAACAATCACTAAATAAATCTGAAATACAGCAATATACTATTTTTTGCCATATTAGGGCACATAGCAATATACTTTTACCAATAGAAACTGTAATTATTATAAAAACATGCAAAATTTAAAAAAATCGCCATTTTAATGCTGAATCGCATCCAGAGCATTCAGCGTGAACCGAATTGCCACAGGATCTGTATCGGTACCATAATTTGTTTGATTTCCCTGTATTTCAGCACAAAAGATCCAGGTATTTTCTTTATTATCATCGTTACTTTCATGAGAGCTATTTGACTATTATTTATCCCAAACGGACTATTTTTAATTTAAACAGATTAATTAATAAATAAGAAAGTAAAGTAAGTAAAAAAAAATTGTGCAAATTAGAAATTTGCACTTGGCTTTCTCATAGAGGAAGTAATGTCTTAAGATGCTAATACGGCCCTCTGATTGGCTGGTGACGCCTTAAGACTATACTTAAGACAATCTTGGATATAAGACCCGACTATGAATACCGGCCTTAAAGAATTATATATGAAATAGAAATATAGAAAAGACTGAAGAATATAATAAAATTAAAAAATTTCGGTAAACCTTTTTTTAACAGAAATCGGTAACCCCTTTATTATTAACAATTTTTATTAATTCTATTATATTCTTCAGTCTTTTCTACTCCTATTTCATATATAATTCGTTAAGATTTGGTTGATCAGTTCTGGAGTTATAGAAATTTCTGTAAAGGCACAGACATACATACATACATACACACATACCGACATTTTTTTTAATGCAATATTTCGACGTTTTAAAACACTCTGAACATATTGACATTAAAAACTCAAAAAACAATCTTTTCTTTGGTTTCTTCTACCCCTATTTTATATACATATAATTCTTTTAAATTTGGTTGATTAGAGCCAACTTTATACGCAATCAAAGGTTCATATACGAATTTACGAAAACAAAGCTTCCTCTATGAGGAAGCAAAACGGGTAATCTACAACTCTCAGGAGTTGTATTGGAATGGATAAAATCGTATTTAAGTAATAGAAAGCAGCAAGTTAGATTCAATGATATATGTTCTAAAATAATTGAGACAGTATTTGGCGTGCCACAGGGATCCGTATTAGGACCTCTATTGTTTATTTTGTACATAAATGATATAGTTATAAAGTCTGCCCGAAGGGAAGTATATTTAGATTATTTGCAGATGACACGACCGCAAGTGTAACAGGAGAAAGTTGTGAGGACTTAGAAATGAAACTAAATATGGTGCTCGGTATACTTGAAGAATGGATGAATGTAAATATGTTAAAAATGAATGCAGTTAAGACCAAATATATGATAGTTAGAAGTATAAGGAAAGAAATAAAAGCAAACATAGGTAATAGTAAAAAGTTTGGATGGAACTGTAATAGAGCCGGGTCGAGAAAGCAAAACATCTGGATGTAATGATCGATAGTAAACTTCGTTAGGACGATTACTGTGATTATATGTTGAAGAAAATAGGGAAAAAAGTGAGCTTTCTGAATAGAATAGGAAATGACATATCGGTGTACACTAGATGTAGGGTTGTGTGGGGTGATGTGCAACACGTTCACTCGTTGCTCGGAAAACATATCCAAAAATCAAATTCTTGAATATATCATGACTGTATAATGTAGAGGAAGAAAAATACTACAATTCTGCGTGATTAGATTTTCAAAATTTTAAATTTTTCCTAAAAATTTTTCGAGTTTTCAAAAAAACGTCTGTTTTAGCATTTTCAAATTTTCTTGGGGTGATGTGCAACACAGGTAAAATTAAGGTAAAAAATACATGAATATCGACATCAATCGACTTAAATGTTAAATTTGGGCTTCTTAAATACAAATTAATCGAAATCTGGTGAACAAAAAATTTCACTGTATTGTAATCGACCTCTGACAAATGGAAATTTCACAAAAAAAAATCATTTTTTATTTGAATTCTTATTTATTTATCGCTTAAAAATTAATATAATAAAAGAAAAAACGCAACCGGATGATCGCCTTTCAGCAATTTTATTGCTGCCCAAATTAGCTCGCAATTGACCGGAACAGCGATACCCTTATTTTTATACTTTCGTGGCATAATGACTAAACACATTGAAAAATGCATTAAATACTCCCACTTCATATACACATGTTCAATCGTAAAATAGCGATAAACTAGCGAAAAATGGGTGTTGCACATCACCCCAAAAAAAGTGTTGCACATCACCCCAAACACGCTATTTTGCGCGGACTGGCGTGACACCAACACAACGTAAGAAAATCACAAAATCGCTTTGGATTATCAAAAGTACTTAAAAAACTAACAATATAAAAATATTTACCTTTAAGATGACTAAAACCAATTCACGAAATCACTATGAAGGTGAAAAGCGAAAATTACATTGAGCTCGAGAAATTTAACTTGTTTTTCGTACAGCAAACCAGGGTGCGTGCCATCTCGCGAGTTATTTATCTAAAACAAGGTACTATTGACACAAATAGATGGCAGTATGCGGTTCTGTCAAATGTCTACATGTAGACCGGGAATCGGAAACGTTGCACATCACCCCTTGTTGCACATTACCCCACACAACCCTACTGTGTATAAGTCTATCATAACGCCTCATTTTGAATATTGCGCAACGATGTTAGTAGGCATGGGTCAAACGTAATTGAATCGACTGCAAGTGGCATAAAACCAGAGTCATATTACAATGTTCGCGATATACAAAGGTAGAATTAATGTTGCAAACCTTTAGGTTTATGAATGTAAGACAAAGGCTAATGTACAATGTATGTATTTTTATTTTTAAGATAGTAAGAGGCATAATGCCAAAACATTTAAGTAATAGGATAGAAATAGTAGGAGATGTGAGTGGACGGCAAACAAGGCAGGCTGAGAATATTAGAATTCAATATTGCAGGACGAGAAGCGCACAGAAAAGTCTATTTTATGAAGGTTTAAATATGTACAACGCCCTACCGGTAGAAATTAAGCAATGCGAAAGAATTGAACCATTCAAACGTAGGTTGAAAGAATATATTGTAAAAAATAGCCGAGAAGACTAATAAAGCTCTCAAAGATTCGCACTCCACTGTCACCGTCTGATACGCGACCTATTGCTAACCTTCCTGAAATGTCAAAAATTCTTGAACGCATGGTGGCCTCACAAATCACCGACTATTTGAACGAACATAACCTGCTGAATCCCAGACAGCTGTGTATCGTTCTGGTTTCAATACGCAATCTGCTCTTTTACGTGTCTGTGACGACATTATAATGGGAATTTATAAAAGACTCATTACAATCATGATTTTATTCGACTTTAGTAAAGCGTTTGATACGGTCCCACATCTTTGTTTGGTTATCAAACTGAAAGAAATCGGTTTTTCTGATGAGGTTCTCGCGTGGATTTTTTCTTACCTTACTGGCCGCTCTCAAGCTGTATTCGACGATAAGGGTAAATTTTCTGAGTGGCTTTTTACGTCGACTAGCGTCCCTCAGGGCTCTGTACTTGGCCCACTTCTATTTGCTCTTTATATCAATGATATAGGTGGATTCCTGTCTTTTGTTTATCATATGATATTCGCGGATGATGTACAAATATATCTCCAATGTACTCGCGCTGACATTCTTCACGGTCTCGAGTTGATTTCAAAGGATGCGAATGCTATTTTTGATTATGCTACGTTAAATGGTCTTAAACTCAATCCTGCAAAATCAAAGGTACTTATATTTGGTAGTCAGGCTTATGTCAATGATATTAACCTCCATTGTCTACTTCCTATCATTGTAAACCATACGCCTTTACCCTTTGTTAACGAAGCTAGGAATTTGGGTGTAATTTTTACAACTAACCTATCTTGGAAAAAACATATCTTGCATGTCTCTCAAAAAGTGCATTATTTTTTGTACAAGCTTAAGTTTAACAAAAACTCTTTGTCCACAAGGTTAAGGATAAGGCTGGTATTAGCTTTAATTATGCCGCACATTGACTACTGCTGCCTAGTCTATCATGGTTTGACTGGAGAATTGAACACCTTATTACAGAGACTTGTGAACTGTTGCATTCGCTTAATTTTATATTTGATCTTAAGCGTGACAAACATATTACTCCGTTCAGGCGACAATTGGGGTGGCTTACAGTTGAAAACAGGAGGTTATACTTTCTTGGCTGTCAAATGTTTTGCATACTTTACATGCGCTCTCCTTCGTATCTGCGTGACAATTTTGCTTTGCTTGATCCGCTGTTGAGGAGATCTGACCGCCGCCTTGTTGCATCCCAAACCTTTCATATTCCTTCCCATAGAACTACCACCTATAGAAACTCCTTTCATCTTTTATCTATATACGTTTGGCATTCTCTTCCTAGTAATATTACCTCTGCTTCCTCAATTGTCTCCTTCAAAGGTCTTCTCAAGGCATATCTGTTGGCACGTAAAGTTGCATGATATTAATTGCTTGCACGGGGCTTATGATGGTGTTTTTCCCTGTTATCAGCTTGTAAGTTGTGTAGCGTCTTATTCTTAGTATTAGTATTAGTATTAGTTAGTTTTATTCTACTTACATTGTTCCTATTTTTAAGCTGCGTTAGTTCTAGTCTTTTTACAGTGTATACTGTTGTGATAAGCTGTTAAGTTGTGCTCTACTCTTAACTGATTTGTGTAGAGAGCACGCACATTTTGTTTTCTTTTTTGTATTGTTAATCTTTGCCCTTTAGTTTTTCTCGGGCATAATAAATTATATCTATCTATCTATCTATCTCTCTCAACGGGACCTGAAAAAATGAGTCCGGCGACAATCAGCGGAAATAAAGTAGCAGGCACGAGTGGAGCAGTGGATATTGATAGAAAAATAGATTGGCTTCTAAGAACAGTGAAATAATTAAAATATGAGACAGCATGTAAAAAGAAGATCAAGTCAATGATAAAGGAAATAGTCCGTGAGGAGATGGAAGGCATTAAACAGAAAATGAAAAAATTGAGAAAAATGTTGATGCAAGGGGCATATGGACCATCAGGTGGAGCGACAAGAAAATATAGCGATGTGATTAAAGAGAGGAAGGAGAAAAATATCATGATTATAAAACCAAAAGTACAACAAAAGAGTAAAATTACGAAAAAAATTATTAAAGAAAAAATTGACATAACCAAGATGGAAATAGGAATTACTAAATTAAGAAAAGGAGGTAAAGGGACAGTGATCTTAGGATGTGAGACAGAAGACAAACAGACATAAAACAATTTAAAAATACTTTCTCAAGAGGAGAAAAAAAGAGCCGGCTGGGAAGATGCAAAATAGCAACCACAGCCTAGGAAGAAGTGGAATTACTCTGGTATACGAATGCACAAAGCTTATTGGCGCATAAGGATGAAATTCAACATCAGATTATGAAGAGAGTGAATCCTGCGATTCTAGCGTTATCCGAGACTAGATTAACTGTAGAAATTGAGGATAGTGAGGTCAATGTACCGGGGTATAGTATAGTTAGATGTGATGCTAAAAATAGAAATACAAGAGGAGTACTGTTATATGTTAGGGATGATATTAAATTTAGAATAATTGATAAGAAAAAGATAGTGTCTCAAATTGTTGGTACGTGGTGGTAGAAATGAGAGAGAATTTGTATAAAGGTATGATAGCAGTAGTGTACCATTCGCCGAGTGCGTCGATAATGGCGATTTCGTGAGATTTTTGGGAGATACAGTAGAAAATTTAATATAATAAAGTATGACTGTGTATAGTGATAGGGGACTTTAATATAGATATAATGGTAGATTTATTTTATACAAAGAAATTATTAACGGTAATGCAAAACCTAGGGATGAGGCAGTATGTTGATTGTCCAACAAGAGTTACAAAAAATAGTCGAACGATAATAGATTTAATTTTTTCGAATAAGGAAGTAAAGGTACAAGTAAATAAGAAACCTAAAATAATGGCTCATGCATGGCTAAAAGTAGAATTTAATATAAATAAAAAGAGAAATATAAAGAATTTAGAGGCAGGGACTATAGTAAATTTAATGTAAATGAATTTCTTAGAATAATGGAAGAAAGAACTAAGCAAGGTCAAGGACTAGATATAAGTATACAAGGGCTGAGAGATTTGTTAACAGTATAGTAAGTGCAAGTAATTTTTATTAATTTATTTCTTTTTTAGTAGCTGCTGTTTTTTACATGTGCTTGCCACATTTTATAAGTTCATGAAAACATAAAATAAATAATACTTTCGATAAATATTTAATATTATGATTATACCAGTTTACATTTTTCGATGACTTTACTTTGATACTTTTATATGTAGAATAATGAAAGAAATTGAATAATAATATTAAGTTTTATTGCAATTTTACAAAATTAAATGCGTCTACAAAATGCAATAAAATTGTTTTAAAATAATTTTTTCTGCTTTTTTACACAACAATTGATTCCTTTCATTATTCTACCGGCAGAAAGTTTCGGGACAACATGAACGCGCACTTATATGCCTTTCATCCAATACGAGTATGAATTATTGAATGTCGTCATCATTACGCACGAAAGAACTTCGAAAAGAAGGAAAAAGAGACCTCCTAACCTGATATAACGTCGCAGTTTAGATATGGTTGCAATTAACGCAATCAACTAAGAAAAATATGGCTATACAATAGTCCTGAAATTTTCTGTCAGTACTGTAGGTATAAAAGTATCAAGATAAAGTCATCAAAAAGTAAATACGAAATATTTTATATTTTATAAAATATTATGATGTAATTTAAAATATCTCAGAAAATTCTTAACAAAAGAGAGCTTTATTAGTGTTTTAAAAACGTCTTGATGAGATTTACAACTTTTATCTCAAGGGAAAAATCAAGTTCCATTTAAGAAATTAATCACCTTTAATTTCTTAAAAACGACAACAACTACATGACACAGTGGAATTATGTGTCCCCCTTCAAACCAAACAACTTTTATTTAAAACATTTTTCTTTAAAAACAATATTTTGGAGATAAAAATTCGTTACGCTTTATTTTGTGCGCAACGACAATATAACGATAACGAAACTGATGTCGTTATGAGTTACAAAAACAGCTTGCCGGGCTATCTGCGCACAAGAGATGATATAGCTATAATTACCAGATAGTCTGTACCTATATAAATTCAAAGCTATAATTTATGGTTTAGATAATAATCATCAATAAAGTATCGCAAAAATACATAGTTAAACAATTTTTTATATAGTAAAGAGACTTCCTAATAAATAAATAAAATATATAAAAAACTAACAATAAGTATAAAATTTATATGTACAGGGTGAACACTAAAAATTGCCATCGCGAATATTTCTAAAGAAACACATTAGAAATTCATGATTTCAAATCATTATGTGAAAAAATGTATTGTATAGTCTTAAAAGAGCAAGAAAAGAGTAATCTTGAAGTCTTTGGATGACCTTGAATAAAAGATTACATCAAATTACACATTACTGTAAAATTTCAAGATAAGACCTAAATCTTATTAAAGATTTCTATAGTTGATATCAAAACATTTTTGGAACAGTATAGTTATAAACCCTCTCTCGCTAAGAAATTTTTGAATTATGAGTCTTTAAATATCACTAATGTTATTCAAGGTACACCATATAAAAATGTAAATCTACACTTTTTTTGTGCGTGTGCGTGTGCGCGCGTACGTATGCGTATTTCAAAGATTACAGAGATTCATCCCCGTAATTCATGTAATATTTAGTGACACACACAGAACACACTTTGTAAAGCAAATCGAGCAATCTTCAAGTGGAATACCTTACAATTAGATAACATTATATAATGGTAATATTACTTATAAACTTTAAAGACTTATAATTCAGAAAATTCT